TGTCCACTCCTGCACCTTCCTGCCCCTGCCTTCCCTTTCCTGCCCCTTCCTGCTCTTTCCTGTGCTTCCTGCCCCTCTCTGTCCCTTTTCTGCCCCAGGATGTTCCTTCCTGTCCCTTCCTGCCCCCACAGGGAAAATCCTGGCACCGAGGGAGGACCCCCCTGGGGGTCTGGGAACCGAGTGCCGAGGTTGGAAGCGAGCAGGACCCCGAAGGGTGTCGAAAGACAGGTCTTTCTGGCTGAACATCACCTGGTGCTTCCCAAACCCAGCCAGGGCCGTTCTGGGAAGCTCCCAGGTCTCCAGGGGCACCCTGAGCTGCAGGGACACCCACCTGTACATGATGCTCTGCAGGATGGAGGCAAAGGGGGTGATCCCAATCCCGGCCCCGATGAGCACAGCGTGTTCCGACAGGAAGATCCGCCGCGTCGGGGTCCCGTAGGGACCGTCCAGGAAGCACTGGGAGAGAGAACACAGGGATCACAGGGGGCTGGAACGACTCCCAGCCTGAGGGGAAGAGCAGGGATAGAGCACAAAGAGCATTGCAGGTGGAATTTGGGGAAGTTTTATGGGAGCAAAGGAAGAGGAGGGGTGGGGAGGAGCAGGAAGGCTCCAGCAGGGCAGGGTTGGGATCAGCCCCACATGGGACCATCCATACATGGGGACACATGGATGGGATGGCTGGGAACAGGGATGAGGCAGTCAGGAACAGGGATGGGGTGATCAGGAACAGGGATGAGGTGGTCAGGAACAGGGATGGGGTGGTCAGGAACATGAATAGGGTGGTCAGGAACATGAATGGGGTGGTCAGGAGCAGGGATGGGGTGCTCAGGAGCAGGGATGGGGTGCTCAGGAGCAGGGATGGGGTGGTCAGGCCCACAGGTGGGTCCCCCCAGGAATGCTGAGCCCAGGGAAGGCCCCGGCCCCTCACCTTGACGCTGCAGAGCCGCTGGGTCTCCCCCGGCCCAGTGGAGCCCTGTGAGATGCAGAGAGCAGGGACATCCCCTCCCTGCACAGAGCAGGGACATCCCCTCCCTGCAGAGCAGGGCCATCCCCTCCCTGCCCAGCCCCTCCTGACCCTGCCTGTTCCCGAGATCGGGGGTTTTCCCAGCTGGGTTATCCAGCTGCACACACACTTCCAGCCCCATCCCTCAGTCAGAGCCAGGGCCAAGCCTGTGCTCCTGGGGGATGTCCCACAACATCCACCCCCAGGGATCCAGGGATCTGTCACCAGTTGTCTGGATCGGATGGGTTTGATCTTGAATAAAAAGGGAATTATCCCAATTCCCACATGAGCTGGGGGGAATGAGGGGTTTGCAGTGACTGTGCTGGCTCACTCAGTGGGAGCAGCCACGGGGCACCTCTGCTCATCCAGGGACGGACAGGAGCAGATGTGTTATCATGGAACCATGGAATGCTTTGGGCTGGAAGGGAGATTAAAGTCCATCTCATTCCACCCCCTGCCACGGGCAGGGACACCTCCCACGGGACCAGGCTGCTCCAANGGACCTTAAAGCCCATCCAGTGCCACCTGCTGCCACACGGGCAGGGACACCTCCCACGGGACCAGGCTGCTCCAAGCTGGCAAAACATCACCCTGGTGATGCAAAACATCAGCCCAGGGATGCAAAACATCATTCTAGTGATGCAAACCACCCCAGGGATGGGCAATTGGGAAGGCTGTGCTCCCACCTGGCTGCTCGGGGGCGCTGCTGATGGAGAAGGGGTGCCACTCGTAGGAGGCGATGGCCGGGACGTTCAGGTACACGTAGTCCCCGGGTTTGAAGTGGAAAGATGGAGGTCTCTGGATCACCAGGTGAGTCACCTGGAGGAGGAGGGGAGCAGGAAAGCTGGAGCAGCCAGAGGACACTGGCTGGTGTGCCCAGGGGGTCCCTGTGCAGCTGAACCCCCGGGCTGTGTCTCCCAGTTTAAGCAGTGGCTCACACAAGACAGACTCCCAGGTTGGACCTAAAAGGGGGTTTATTCCCCTGTTCTCTGCCCACTTTGTGTTGAACAACAGTCCCAGTTCAGGCTGGACTCAAACAGGTTTTTTGTCAAAATTAAGAATCTGGGCAGTTTTCATTTTGGCTCCAGTTGTTCCACGACTTTGGGTGTTTTTGAACTTGAAAAATCGGCAAAAATTCTCAATTAAATAAACAACGGCTTGAAAACGAAGAAATTTCTTTCACCTCTCCCTGCAAACCTAAACCATCCAAACCCCCAGTTTTCCATGGAAACTCTTGGTTTACTGGGTTATTCCTGCTCTCCCCAGAGGAGCTCTGGGTGCACACCTTGGAGGGGAGCAGGTTGACCTCCACGATGTGCAGCCCCCCCGCCCGGCGCCAGGCCCAGCCCAGAACCTTCTCCAGCACAAACAGGGAGCCAGGAACCAAGAACCACTTCCAGAAGTGGGGACCATGGAGGATGAGGAGGGTCCAGACAGAGATGTAGGAGAGGTGGGTCCAGTAGAAAACCTGTGGGCAGGGAATGGGGGCACAGGGAACGTGGTGGAGCCAAACTGTGCCTCGAGGTGAGGCTGTGCCAGGGCATCCCGGGGGGGAAAGGCAAATGAATCATGGAATGTTCTGTGTGGAAAGGGACCTTAAACATTATCCAGGTCCTGCTTGGGCAGGGACACCTTCCACTAGCCCAGGTTGCTCCAACCTGGCCTTGGACACTTCCAGGGGTGGGGCAGCCACAGCTTCTCTGGGCAACCTGTGCCAGGGCCTCCCCACCCTCACAGCCAAGAGTTCCTTCCTGATATCCAGTATCCAATCTATCCCCCTCTGTGGCTGCTCCTCCAGCCTGGAGGGATCAACATCCTGATAAAGCCACCAGTGCTGGCTCTCAGTGTCCTGGCAGGGCCCTGGGCACACCCGAGGGGTTCCATTTGAAGGATCCCTCAAAGAAGCTCTGGGCTGGTTCCTCCAGGTCGCTCCTGGCTGTGGATGGGGCAGAGCCCCCTCCCTGCCCTGGGCTGGGCTCGGTGCTCACCCCCCTCTCCAGGTCCTGTCCCGGGGCAGTGGCTCTGAATGCTGTCAGCTGGACAGATCCATCCCTGCCAGAGGCCACCGAGCCTTCCTGGAAAACAAAGGGCAGGAATCACTGCTGGGATGCTCCCAGGGGCTGTGTCCCTCCAGCAGGGTCAGCAGGGCAGTGGGACACAAAATCCCCCAGGGCTGGGCAAGCACCGTGCAGGGAATGTGCCTCCCAAGGGATAACCCAGCACCCCAGGGATCCACTCCACATCCAGCCCAGACCTGGCTGTGCTGCTTTGCTGGGTTTGCCCAGAGCTGATCCCAGTCCCACCGACCTGTGCCCAGCTCCGGCTCCTCCCGGGCGGATTCGGCTCCGGGCTGGGTGATTCCAGCTGCTGGAAGTACTCGTACAGCCTGTTGGTCCACTGGCCCAGAGACCTGATGTGCAGCCAGAGGGTCTCTGTGGGATCAAACAGAGAAGAGGGTGCTCGAAATCTTGGAATGCTTTGGCTTGGAANGAGAATTCCTTCCCAATATCCTATCCAACCCTGCCTTCTGCCAGTGGGAAGCCATTCCTATTGTCCCACCTCCCCTCTTATCCCATCCGGGGAGAAAAGCCCAGAAACCCCAAACCTGCAAATCTGGGGAGTGTCCAGGGGGTGTCGGGGGCACTGCACCAGCCCAGCTCCCCTTCCCCACGGGGCAGCCCCTGGATGGGCACCCACCCATCCACCCACCCACCCACGGGACCCTCCCCCTGGTGCCCCCACCCCACCCACCGGGGTTTTCCCCTTTCCCACCTCGAAGTGGCCGCGGCGCCGGACGCAGGGGCTGGAGAAGGTGCCCATGGCGAGCAGCAGCGCCAGCAGGGCCAGCCCGGTCTGGGGGGCTGTGCCCGCCACGCCGCCCCCCCCGGGCCGTGCCCACAGCAGCGACTCGAGCAGGGCAGGGCCCCCGTCCTGCTGTGCCAACCGGGCTGGGGGCACACACACAGGGACACCGATTTCACCCGGACACCGCGGGAATGCCCCGTTCCCCCTCTCCTGACCCCCTTCCCGGGCTCGGTGTCGTGTCCCGGGGGCACCGGGGCATCCTGTGCCGGGGGATCGTGCGGGAGGGTGGGCAGGGGGGGCAGAGCTGCTCCCCTGAGGGGGGTGGGCAGCCCTGGCACCCACCGCGGGCTGGGGAGGCTGGGGGGTGACAGGCTGGGGGGTGCAGGGCAATGGGGGGCTTGGGAGTGCAGGACTGGAGGGTGCTGGGGGTGCAGGGCTGAGGGGTGCAGGACTGGGCGGGGGGTTGCAAGGCTGTGGGGTGCAGAGTTTTGGGGTGCAGGGCTGTGGGGGGGGTTGCAGGGCTGAAGGGTGCAGGGTTTTGGGGTGCAGGGCTATGGGCTGCTGGGGGGTGTAGGGTTTTGAGGTGCAGGGTTATGAGGTGCTGGGGGGTGTAGGGTTTTGGGGTGCGGGGCTGTGGGTGCCAGACGCCACCCGGGAGCAGCGCGGGGGGAGCGGGAGCCCTTTGGCTGCCGGGCTGGGAACCACTAGAGGGGGATCACAGACTGTGCGGCACCGCCGCGCCCGCCGCTGCTGCTCCTGCCCACACCCTGCCTGTGCCCTGCCCACACCCTGCCCACGCCCTGCTTGTACCCTCGCAGCCCCCCTCGGCATGGGCACCCCCTCTCCTGGGCTCACATCCCCCTCCTGGGACATGTGCACCCCCGGGACACGAGCATCCCTTCCCTGGGATATCCACACCCCTCCAGGACAGGAGCATCCCCCCCGAACATCAGCTCCCTTCCCCGGGACATCTGCATCCCTCTGGGATACGGGCATCCCTCTGGGATACGGGCATCCCCCTCAACACGAGCATCCCCCAGGACACGTATTCCTGGGATACCTCCATCCCCCCGGGATACCTCCATCCCCCCGGGACATCTCCATCCCCCCGGGACAGGAGCACCCTCTCCCCGCGCCCTCTGCCCCGATCCCCCGCCGTAGCCGAGGTCCCCCCGCCGCAGCGCCGGCACTCACCGAGGTGGGCGATGTGAGCCCCGCTGTGAGCGGCCCCCAGGGCCAGCACCACGTACCCCACGAGCTGGTGGCACTGCACGGGCTGGTCCAGGGGCAGCGCCTCGGCCGCGGCCGTGGAGCGGAGCCAGGTCAGGCACCGCCGCAGCATCGGCACCTCCGGGGCGGGGGGACAAAGGGAGGGGTGTTGGGGGCACGTGGAGATACCGGGGGGCAATGAGAGGTGCCAGGGGAAAATTGGGCATGCCAGGGGCACTTGGGGGCAATGGGAGGTGTTGGGAGGCAGTCAGGGATTGCGGGGGGCGATGGGAGGTGCCAGGGGACGATGAGAGATGTGTGGGGCATTTGGAGGTGGCAGTGGCAGCAGGAGATGCTGGGGGGGCAATGAGAAATAGCTGGGGGGGCAATGAGAAATAGCAGGGGGGCAACGGGAGGTGCTGGGGAGAAACGGGAGATGCCAGGGGCAAGTGGAGTTGTTGGGAGCAATGAGAGATGTTGGGTGTAACTGGAGATGCCAGGGGGCAATGGGAGATTTTGGGGATGATTGGAGGTGCTGGAGACAATTAGAGCTGTTGGGGGCAATGGGAGATGCTGGGGGGGCAATGGGAGATGTTTGGGGTAATTGGAGATGCCAGGGGGGTAATGGGAGATATTTGGGGTAAGTGGAGGTGCCAGGGGCAGCTGGAGGTGGTGGAAGCAATGGGAAATATTGGGAAGCAATGGAAGATACCAGGGGACGATGGGAGACGTTGGGGGTAGTAGGAGATGCCAGGGGGCAAGGGGAGGGGCTGGAGGCACTGGGAGATACCAGGGGCAGATGGAGATGCTGGGGGGCAACTGGAAATGCTGGGGGCAACATCCCCCCTGGACTCCCAGCAGACCCTCGTCCCTCCCGGCCCCCCACAGTCCTAAACCCCTCCCCGTGCCCGTGCCCCGCACTCACAGCCAGGAGGGCACAGTCGAGGTTGAGCCCCTGCCCGCAGCCCCGGGCCAGCATGATCGCGGGGCCGAGCCCGCGGTGCCGCAGGGCCGCCAGGGTGAAGAGCAGCAGGTTGAGGGCGGCGAAGGCCCCCAGGCAGCCCAGCTGGCCCCGGTGGTTGTACCAGTAGCCCCGGGACAGGCAGCGCGGGCGGGGCCGCTCCGGGGGCTCCGGGGGCTTCAGCCAACTGGCGGCACTGGGAGAAGGGAGCTGAGCTGCCTTCCCGGGAAGGGGGAGCAGGGGCGGGCGTGTGCCGGGCTGGCACCAGCATGGGGGCAACCCTGCACCACCCCAGCACCTATCCCTGCATCCCAGCCCAGCATCCAGTGTGGCATCAGCCCTACATCCATCCCAAATCCATCCCAGCACCATCCCTGCATCCATCCCAGCACCATCCCTGCATCCATCCCAGCACCATTCCTGCATCCATCCCAGCACCATTCCTGCACCCAGACCTGTGGCATCATCCCTGCACTCACCCCTGTATCCAAGTCCCACGCCCATCCCATCACAATCCCAAACCTCAACACCAATCCCTCAATCCAAGACCAGCACCTGGCTTGGCATTATCCCTGCACCCATCTCAACACCATCCCAGCACCCATTCCAACATCCAAACCACCATCCCAACACCATCCCTGCATCCAAGCCCAAGGTTCCCAAGTTGCTCCCAGTGCCAGCCAAGCCCTGCCCAGTTTGCCCCCCCCGAGAGCCTTGACAGGAGCAGAAACCCCCCAGTTTTCCTCCAGACAGGAGGAAAAATGTGCTCCCCGGGGGGGGACTCCCAGCCGGAGGGTCCCACCTGATGGTCAGGTTCTCCATGAGCTCTGGGAAGGCCTCCAGCTGCTCCCGGAGCTCCGGGAAGGTGATGGAGCCGCTGTGGTCCCTGTCAGCCGCCTCCAGGAGGGCCCTGGTGAGGTCCCCCAGGCGCTCCTCAGGCAGGGACACGGAGCTCTCCCGGAGGCACCAGCGCAGCACCAACTGCAGCTCCTCCGCCTCGATGGAGCCGCTGCCTGGGGGGGCACGTTGGACACCGGGGAAAATTCCTTCGTGGAAAGGGTGGTCGGGCAGTGGAACAACCTGCCCAGGGCAGGGGTGGGGTCCCCAACCCCTGGAGGGGTTTGAAAGCCCTGTGGATGTGGCACTTGGGGACGTGGTTAGTGGTGGCCTTGGCAGTGCTGGGGGAGCTTGGGCTCGATCTCAAAGGGCTTTTCCAACCAAAATGATCCTCCAGGTCCATGAAACCGGGATGGGGAGTTGGTGTTTGAGCAGAGCAGAGCCCACTCCTCTCCATGGCTGAGGGTGAAAGCACTCCATGGGAATTCCTGACATGTGGCCAATTTAATTGCTGCCTTTCAGACGGATTTTTGATGTTCTCACCATGGAATGATGATCCCAGACAGACACGAAGCTCCAGCAGCGCAGACCCCCCGCCAGCCCTTGGCTCTGCTCAGAGCAGAGCCCTCCCACCTTCCAAATCCCACCTTTATCCCAAAAAACCACGGCTCAGTGCGTTTTCCCTCGTCTCACCGTCCACGTCGTAGACCTGGAAGAGGAAGCTGAGCTTGTCCCGCTGGTCCCCGTGCACGAGCAGCCTCAGGGCCCTCAGCAGCTCCTCCAGGCTGATGGTGCCGCTGCCATCGGCGTCGAACAGGGCAAAGAACCTCTCGGCAAAGAAGGACTGTGGGAGCACCACGGGAGCTGGGATGATCCCAAGTCATGGGATCCTGGAATGCCTGGCTTGGAAGGACCGTAAAGCTCATCTTGTTCCACCCCCTCCCATGGGCAGGGACACCTTCCAGCACAGCCAGGTTGCCCCAGCCTGGCCTTGGTTGCTTCCAGGGATCCAGGGGCAGCCACAGCTTCCCTTGGAATTTCATTCCAGTCCTTCACTACCCTCCCAGGGAAGAATTCCTTCCCAATATCCCACCTAACCCTGCCCTCTGGCACCTCGTTCCAACCCCCTGCCATGGGCAGAGACACCTTTCCCTGGAGCAGGTTTTGTGACCACCCTGCACAGGGTGTAACGAGGAGAGACCTTTAGTGTCCTTCCTTCCCAAACCATCCCAGGATCCTCTAACCCCATGAACACCTCACAGTCCCATTTTTAAGCTGGATTTTCCCTCGGTCCCCTCCTGGGGCAGAGCTGGGTGCTGTCCTGGGGCAGGACCCCCACGGCCCATCCCCGGGGACCCCTCACCTCCTTCACTTGCAGGGCACTTTTGAACTCTTCCAGGCTGATTTCCTTGTCCTTCCCGGCGATGTTCCCGAACTGCTTCGTCACCCAGCGCAGCCACTCGGCGTCTCCCGCCGTGCCCATGGTGCTGCACCTGCGGGAGGCCACATTCCAAGCCCTGCATCCCTCCAAATCCGCCTTGTCCGTGCTCCTGCCGTGCCTCCAGCCCCTCCAGCCTCGTGCTGCTGAGCGGAGCAGGGGCTGCTCTCTGGGAACGGGTCACTCTGGGAAACTGGGCTCTCAAAATTAGGGAAATCCGGGGCTGGAGAGCCCGGTTTCCCAGAGTGACCCATTCCCAGAGTCCTTCAGCTCCCAGGGACAGGGAGGTGCTGCTCCTCTGCCGAGCTGGGCTGGAAGGAGGGTGATGGCAGTAAGATTTTGGGGGTTGAGGCTTCCTTTTGCCAGCAAAACCAGAGCAGGGAGATGGGAATCTTTGCTCTCCACAGGCGCTCATCCCTCCCTCCCCTTCTCTCTCCTCCCTGGATTGTCCTCACCTCCCTCCTCCTGCTCCTTCCTTGCCTTCCCACCCCCTGTCCCCCCTCTGCCTCCTTTTCCAGACCTCACAATTCCTCAAATCCCCCATGCTCACATCAGATCCTGCAGCAGCCCCCCAACAGTCCCAAATTACTGTAGGACCTCGTTATCTTGGGAAACCAAAGGAAAATCCACATGGAGCTGCCACGTTCAACGAGCCTTTTTCCAGCCCCAAAGGTGTGACCCAACCCCTTCTGTTCACCCCAAATGGCTCCTGGGGACACCAAAGGGGGCCTGGCAGAGGGATATGGTGTTCCCGAGGAGGACAGGCAGGGATGGATCAGATTTGGGATGTACAGCTGGGACAAGGCACAAGCTCCTGCCCACACTGGTCACTCCCAGCCCTCTCCCACCTCATTCCCGTTGTCCCTCCTGTCCTACAGCCACACACCAGGTCCCTGCTGCATCCTGGCTCTTCCAGCTGATCCCAGCTCTTGGATGTGCCTCCTGCAGTGTCCTTGATTTCACATTCCTTGCCCCACTGAGCCCCCTGCCCTTGGGAAGCGTGTCCTGCCAAACCCACACGGCCTCGGATCCAGCGGCGCTTCCGTCGCCATTCACGGCCCGTCAGGAACACACGGGGAAGTGTCTTTTCCATACTGCCACCTTTATTCCTTCCTGAACAGATCCTGCTTGTGCAGCTCTAAACTGGGACTCCTCTGGGGGAGGAGGTTGCCATGGGAATGTCAGGACCAGAAACCAGGTAGTAAAACATTCCCGCTCCGCCGCCGCTGTCACGGAGCGCCGGGCAGGGAAGGCAGGAGAGGGTTGTGCAGAGGCAGAGCTGGAGCTGAGGCAGCTGATCCCGGCTGGAAAACTCCCTCCCTCTCCCTGCCTGCTTGTTTCTTGGGAAGTTGGCTGAGCTTTGGACCAAATTCCCCCCCTGGCTGCACGGGAAGGGCAGGGATGGCTCAGCTGCCCCATGGACACACTGCCCAGGGAGCAGGGCCTGTGCTGCTCCGACCTGATCCCAGAGAATCCTGGAGTGGTTTGGGCTGGGAGGGACCTTAAACAGGTCCTGGATGGGCAGGGACACCTTCCACCAGACCAGGTTGCTCCAAGCCCCATCCAAGCTGGCCTTGGACACTTCCAGGGATCCAGGGGCAGCCACAGATGCTCTGGGAATTCCATTCCAGCACCTCCCCACCCTCTCAGCCAGGAATTCCTTCCCAATATCCCATCTCTCCCTGCCCTCTGGCAGTGGGAAGCCATTCCCTGTGTCCTGTCCCTCCATCCCTTGTCCCCAGTCCCTCTCCAGCTCTCCTGGAGCCCCTTTAGG